ACTCGACTCGCAAGACCCCATCTGAGTTCCTGTGTGCTGCCATGAGTGTTTCGGCTGGCATGCATTCCTGGGGGGAGAGGGGGATGCCCCTTCCTCCATGTGGGGCAAAGGTCCTGAGCATGGTTCCAGACTCAGGTGGCTTTTGGGAAGTGCCCTTTGTGCTCTTCCTAGTTAATTGTGTAGAACCATACGTCTAGATTCCTTTTGTCTATTTAATGGAGCTCCACCTGCACCTTGCTTCCTCTTTTATTATCTTGAAAAAGTCTTTCCCATCACCCATTAAAGGTTGCTAATTGTCCACATTTCCCCAAGAAGGTCAACTTTCTGTCCTGTGATTGTCTCGTGACTGTCCTGTAACTTACCTTCTATGCCTTTATGCCCTATATAAGCATATGATGTTTTAATAAACTTTGTTTATACCCACATGGTATGGTCCCTTTCTGCCTATAGACACTAAGTGCCCGGGTCTCGCTGTGTGAACAGCAACAGACCTCTCTGTGTCTTCTGATATAAGACTTAACTCTGAAGAAGCTTAAATTGTGGCAAGGAGGAGCACATTTTAAAGATGGTTATTGAAAATGATAAAATTAGATGCCAGAATCTTAGCTACTTGAGAATCTGTTATATGGGAAGGGGTAAAAAGTTAGACAAGAAATGTAATCACTACCTTACTTATGTAACTGAAACTCCTCTGTACATCACCTTGAAGAAAAGGAAAGGAAAGGGAAGGGAAGGGAAGGAAAGAGAAGGAAAAGAGAAAGGAAGGAAGGAATTCGGTGCCAGCTGTCCAGGATATAGTTTCAAAGATACTCATAACATTTTATTACTACACCTTCAGCTTTAACCATTTAGGGAGTCAGTCCCATAAAAACACATCAACTTCTATAATTTCATATGATCGCAAACCTTGTCTATAGATTAAAGGTACCACTTGGCTTCTCATCGATAATCTATCTCTCTTTTGGAAGATTCATATTGGTCTAGTGAAAAGAATATGTTCTAGACTTAGCTAGGGAACATAATAAGCTGGCCTTACATAAATAAATATAAGAATATATAAATACCTTGTAACACTTCCATTTCTGCAGGACTTTAGACTATTTCTTTATTTTTTGCCAAGGTAGTTCTGGCATCTCTACATCATTTGTTCTAGGCCAATATTTGCAATCAAATACATGTTCAGTAGCCTATTAAGGCCAACTACAAGTGGATTTCCTGGGATGTCACAAGTGAACTCATTCAGGAATATGTAACAAGTAGATTATGTATTCACTGGCCCAATACTCTATGCTCCCTGATCCAATACCTCAAGATATCAAGGTTATTAGTATTTTTGAATGTTCCCTATATTACTCTTGGTGTTATCCAGATTGATTTGATGAATGATCCATTTCATCCTACAATAGTGAACATATCTTTCCATTCAGATCCTACCAAGACTTGGTTCTAATTATTTATCTAATGATGGGAAATGACAACTGAAATTGACAAAGTCAAGTATCACCTTCAAACATCTCTCTGAGATGAAACCTTTACAAGACAATTAGCCATTCTCCACTAGAAAGAACAGCATTCATTTTCTAGATCAGCAGGTTAGGGGAATCAAGGTATTTAAAGCTTTTAATGGTGTCTGTCCAAATACCACACCTGATGCTTTGGTGACTTCTTCCTTTCCTGCAAGGGTTTTGACATACTTACAGGGGACTTGATAGTCCTGTAAACTCAACCTCCATTACAATTCCAGCTCGGCTAAAATAAAATTTTACAACTAATCTGCATCATCTATGCTGTAACTAGAGACAATAAGGATCATTTTGACTAATGCTTGAAGGTGTTCAGCTAACTTAAATTTTGGCTGAACAGATTCTATATTTATGTCATCTATCAGTTTCTTTGACAAAATGATTTCTTTTTAATTAATACAATATTATTATACCTATATACATACATGCATACATAGTGCATATACACACACAATATGTACTGATAATCTCAAGGGAATTCACAGTTTTAGCTCATGTCTGGGGCCTTTATGCTCCTTCTTTCTAGCTTTACATAAAAATGTAAATTATTGTACTATAGGGCATTACAGATGAATCTTCCTACCTAACTTCATTTTGGTAACTCCTTCCCTGCTGTTTCATAACATCTAGTCGTTAATACTTTACTCTTTGTGTCAACTTTTTTAGCTTCCACATGCAAGAAAGGACATTATTTCACTTCAGTATACATGTTTCTATATTTTCCAGTTTGTCCCTGAACACTTGGGTTGATTACACATCTTAACTGTTGTGATTTGTGATGTAATAAACATGGGCAAGTGTATTTGTGGTACATTATTTTCATTTCCTCCAGGTAGGTATATAGTTAGAAATGAGACTACTGAATCACAAGGTAGATCTTTCAGTTTGAGGAATCACCATACTGTTCTTCATAGCAACTGTACTAGTTTACACATCTGTAGTGTATGAATTCCATTTCTCTACATCTTCAGCAGCATTTGCTTTTGTTTTTGCCTTTTTGATGCTACCCATTCTGACCAGAGTGAAACTGCATGTCATGGTGCTTTTCATTTGCCTTACTCTGATGTCTAATGAGGTTGAACATGTTTTCATAGGCTTAACCATTGCATTTCTTCTCCTGAGAAATGAACACAAAAGACTTTTGCTCATTTTTAAATTGGGTTTTTGAGGAGAGGGTTGTTCAAGTTTTGAGTTGCTGGTATACTTTATGTGTGTGTGCGCATATGTGCACTAGTACTGGGACTTGAATGTAGAGCGTCTTGCTCTTACTCAGTTTCCCACTCAAGGTTCATGCTCTACCACTTCATCCATGCTTTCAGTTTGGCATTTGATGGTTAACTGGAGATGGTCTCTTGAACTTTTCTATCAAAACTGGCTTGGATCTTTTAAATTTCAGCCCCCTGAGTAGTAGGGATGGCACCAAGCTTCTTTTCTTGATATTAATACCATTATTTAGGTTGTTTCTTCAATCTCTCAATTGTCTCCTTTGCTGTGTAGAAACTTGCTAGTTTGATATTATTCCATTTGTCTACATTTGTTTTTGTAGCCCATGCTTTTGGTATCTTATTTAAAAACTGACTAACTGCTGCCAGGAAGAGCGTTTCACTCCTAGGTTTCTTAAGACAGTCAACTAACTCCACAATATCATCTTTCAAATGCTCTAGCATTTTCTTCTATTTGAATTTTATTATTTTCTTCTCCTAAGGAGAATAAATGTAATTACAGTGCTATAGTTCTACAATGCTATGTACCAGCAAGTACTTGCTGTCACCTTGGTGATGAATGATAGAATTAAGGAGACTGGTACTAACGACCTGTTTCTGAGGACCAGCTCTGTCTTAACTGAGGTTAACTGGCTCCATAAGAAGACCCAACTCAAGGATTTAAGTGAATTTGATTTATTTGAAAGGCAAATCCAAGAAGCACTAATAAAAGAGTAAAGAGATAAGAAATGGAAAGAAAGAAAGCCAGCCGAGGGTGGCTTAAATTAGGAAGCTTGCCCCATAGGAACCAGGGATTTTATCCCCCTAGGGGCCTTTGAGGTTCCACAGAGCATGCCTCAGAATTATCCTTTCTGAGGAACAAGCAACCTTCATTATTACTACCAATTGAGATCTGCGCCTGACTCCAAGAGATGTTAACTCCCTGGAGTTGCTGGCCTGCAAATAACAGGAAGCCTGGTAGTTGGTGCTTACAGACACAGTGAGAGTCAAGAGAACATAATAGTGGGCTTGTGGTTAGAGTGCTATTTAAGTCTTTCCTAAGGAGAATAGTTAAAAATAATTACAAGTTAGGAAACATTTAGCTGGAAAGTATATTTAACACACTTTTCCCCCAAAGGCCTGTTCAGAAATAAAAATACAATTTTTTAAAGAGTATATAATAGGATACTGAAAAAATATCTATTACAAATGGCTTCTGAGTATAATATAGTTATTAGTGGGAAATATGCAATTAAAAATACTAGCTTGGAAATGTGGCTGAAGTGATAAGAGTGTTTGACTAGCATGCCTAGGCCTTGGGTTCTAGCCCTAGTTCTACATATACACAAAAAATATGTACAAAAACTATATCTGTATTGCATGCCAGTGCAGCTATGGCTAGGCAATACTGTGCATGTTGTTTCTTTATGTTGCCTCATCCAGCACTTTCTGGGTCAGAATAACTGAGGGTATATTCCTCATATTAACAACAAACAAATATACATATACTGCTTGCTTTGATAGCCAAAAAATGGATATGATGCAGTTAGAATACACTTGGCATCACTTCTTCTCTCCTTTCAGAAATAAAATTTAGAAATGAATTTGGAGAAATACACATTGTCAAAAAAAAAAAGAAAAAAAGAAAACATTCAGCACACTAAGGAATTTAAAGCACTTTCATAAATAGAGAAACAGCAACATTCAATGTTTTATTTCTCACTTGTGAAAATATGTATAATATATCTTACATATATAGAAGAGTCCCACAGCTTGAGTCTGAGAAAGCCAGAAGAAAGGCACCTACAGGTAAACCAGCACAGCATTTGGGGCACACAATGGGAATGAAAGCAACAAAAGCACAGGAGGCTGTGGACATGACTCTGAAGAGCTAAATCATACACAACACTTAGTTCTGCCAAGAATGGAGGTTGTCTCTGAAGAGAATACCGTTTCTCTTTAACAAGCCTGCCAGACCATCAAAGAACACATTGAAATCTGAACAAAGACACACCAGGACAAAGGCAAACGCCAATGCTTAACTTGACAGCTGGTTTGCTCTTATCCACTTTCTCTTTAAATCTGGACAACTTTGTTGATTTAAAAGAGCAAATACCAGGGCTGATGTTGCAAAATTGTGCTCTGCAGGTCAAGAGAATTTTGTAACAGACTAAGTGTTTTCAAAGCGTGTAAACACTGTGTGGATGGTGGGAGAACATTAAAAAAGAGCACTTACTATTTCTCTTACAGAAAAGGTACAGGCATAGATCTTTGGCTTGGCACGTGTGTTTCCCCTCCTGGTTTACCCAAAATGGTACAAATGGAGGCATAATTCATGAGATCATGGGATTATGTCTGTCATATGCCAGCATAGGACCCTCCTAGGATTTAGCACAGCTGGAACAGCTGACGGCCTTGGGTGAGGGGAGATGAGGCTTCACGATGTCAGGCTCTATGGACTCCATTAGGTCACATTCATTAGCAAGTATGTGCTTCACCAGGCACCTGGAGGCTTCATCAATGTTTATATTTTCCTAAGGAGAAAGCAAAACAGATTTTCTTATTTAGTATCATAAAGAATGTCTCAATAGAATCTCAGATGTAAAGGAAGAACAGTATTTTTTAACAAGTCACTTCAAATTCCTTTCTAACCAATATCCTTGTATCCTCTTATTTCTACTTGTTTTTTTTCCTTCAAAGAATTCTACCTTTTAGTCCCTCACATATATGTGTACTATATTTTGTCAAATGGGGGCAATACTGTTTGCTAAGATTCATTTATAGCTTGAATTTGGTAGAGGTCAATTCTCTTAGTTTAACTTATCCTGTATTACAGCATAATACTGTACAAGAAATGAGAATTTCAGTCCAACATAGTTTATAATTGCCTTTTGTTGCATATTCTTATTGTGACCTTGATAGAAAATAGAAGTAATGGGACACTTTTCACAGCAATTGTATTTTAACAAATATTTCTGGCTCTTTGTTTTCCAGTCAAATGGTAGGTGTACATGGTCATGTGACTCTGCTGGCCAATGAAATGCAAGAAGTGGCATGTCTCATTTTCATATAAGAGAAGTAAGAGCCACAGTTTCATTCCTCAACCTCCTCCCCTTTCTCCCGCCCCCCCCCCGCTCAATTTCTGCTATTATAGAAACACTGAAATGAAAATTCTTTTGGCCTTGGTCTCTTAGTAAGGATCAAATATAAATAAATATCCCAATCAGCTCACTATGACACAAATAGTATGTGTGAGAATTATGACCATGTTGTGTTAAGCTATTGAGATTTGAAGCCATCTATTATGACATTATCCCGACTCTTCAAAGGAAAAATTTGAAATCAGACATGTGATCTAGTTTCAGGAACAAAATAAAACTTAATTTAAGAAAAATATGGAGCAAGAACTTGAATCTAAAATATGATAAAATACATTATCTTTTTTCTACTCATCAGAAAGTTAAAACACAGAATATTTACTACCAGTGCACAAAAATAGAAACATCTTTGCTCAAATAAAATGTCTTAAAGTGAAGATCTTCAGTATCATCAAATTTTATTGTGTTTTTTAAAATTTATTTTATTGTAAAGATGCTGTACAGAGGGGTTACAGTTACACAAATAAGGTCATTAGTAGATTTCTTGTCGAGCATTATTACCCCCTCCTTTGTTGTTCTCCCACTATCCCTTAAATTTTATTGTTTTAATCACAACTTCTAGACATTCTTTGATGCATTTTCATATATTAAATATAAAGAAACATAAAGCTTTCTTTTGTCAAATTATTTTACTATTGTATCTTGTCGATCAATCTGAAGTAGAATTATATATCTCTAATTTTTGTATGAGTGTCAAAATTGTTGATTTAGGTTTTAAGATCATTGTAAGAAGTCATAATATTAAAATATATATATATAGGAGCCAGGCATAGATGGCTCACACCTACAATCCTAGCTACTCAAGAGGCTAAAATCTGAGAATCTCAGTTTGAAGCCCATCTGCACAGACAAGTTTTCATCTTTCTGTCTTTCTCTTGTTTTTTTCTTTCTTTCTTTTTCTTTCTTTCTTCTTCTTTCCTTCCCTTCCCTTCCCCTTCCCTCCCTCCCTCCTTCCCTCCTTTCTTTTTCCTTCTTTTTTTGTTTCTTTATTTCCTTTTTCTTCTCTCTTTTTTTCTTTCTTTTCTACCAGTCATGAGGCATGAACCTGGGCACCATTTCTGAGTGTCTTAGCTCAAACCTAGCACTGAACTGTCTGATCCACAGCTGCACTTCCAGCTCTTTGTTGGTTAATTGAAACCAGAGTCTCACAGACCTTCCTGCCTAGACTGGCTTTGAACTAAAATCCTCAGATCTTAGCCTTCTGAGTTGTTAAGATTACAAGTCTGAACCAGCCGTACCCATCTTTCTTATTTCTAATAAGCAAAAAGCCAGAATTTGAAAACATGATTTAGGTGCAAGCAGTGAACAAAACAAAAACAAAAAGTGAAAGTGTGAAGCCTAGAGTTCAGGCTCAGTACTGTAAAACAAACAAAAATGTAAGAGGTAGTGATGGTTTGCCAGTGCATTCATGGTTAATGGCATTAGCTGAAAATGTTCATTCACATACCCTTATCCTTAATTCACCTGTGAATGAAAGTACACTATATCCGTGATGAAAGTACAATATGACTCAGGAGTCCCAGACAACAACTTCATTATTTTTCTCTGCTCTAAAGAGCATTAGTGAAAGGATTTGAAGGTTTCTAAATCCAAAACAAGGTAAAGATCTGACCACCTTTTAGCTTGTTGCTATGTTAGCTAATGGCCTTTATACTGGAATTATGTTTCTGTCTCAGAGCCTTGACTTCTTCAATTAAAAAAAGGTCTTGCTTATAGCACTCACCTAGGAAAAGCTTGCTTTTCTTGACAGGATGTAGTGTCATTAGCGTCTTGATAAGAGGAATGTCTCAGACACTTTATGTACTTAGCCTTGCATCATATTTAAAACACTAGCCAGTTAAGATTAGTTTTGGTTCCTATTGGTTTTGTCGAGTTTGGGTGCAGATGGGCTATTTCTTAACTTAAGTATCCACCTTACTGCAGGGGCAGAGAATAGCAGCACTTGTGCCCCAATCCCCAACCCCCTTTGGGAAAACACCTATGCTCTAACAGCACACTTCCTTCCTCTCCTCTTCTTCTTACCATGCTGCCCACAGGTGAATGACTTGACCTCCACACAATAATGTGGCATAGGTGAAGACTTATTCCTCAGATCAGTGGGAACAGGTAACCTCGCCTTCCACTCCAGATCTCAAACACATGGGCCAGCATTTCTCATGATAGCCCTGAACTGGGGTAACTTTAAGGTACCTCCTTAGTAGTTAATAAACAATGCTTTCTCATTGTGGCTTGTGTGTTGAGGAGAGGCAGCAATAAAACTCACCCCAAATGCCAAGCAGGAGAAATTATCATGTCTTAGCAGGTAAGAAATATTCAGTTTAGAAAGACTACAGACCATTCAAAACAAGTGGATTGGCAATCCAGAGCTCCTAATTGTATTTGACTCGTGTCACTGTTTCTAACCAAGCTGTATTCCTTTTCAAAATTAATTAACAGGGGGCAGGGAAGGTGGCTCAGTGGTAGAGCACTTGCCTTGCATGTCTGAGGCCCTGGGTTCGATTCCTCAGCACCACATAAGCAAAAAGAAAAAAGCCGGAAGTGGTGCTGTGGCTCAAGTGGTAGAGCGCTAGCCTTGAGCTGAGGAGCTGAAGGACAGTGCCCAGGCCCAGAGTTCAGGCCCCATGACCGGACCCCCCAAAAAAAAATTAATTAAAAGAAGTTCTATTTGTTATTAAACTGTATAACATTAGACCCAATAAATACTAAAGAAATCTCAATTTCATTTCATTTATTATCATAATAAAAATGTTTATGTGACAAAAACAAGTTTCAATCATTAAAAAGCCCCTACTTCACATAAAATGTAAGTTAGATTTGCCAATAGTATTTTTAAAAATCTCCTTATGTATTAACATGTCAGTTAAATAAGAGTTTCTTTTGTTAATGTACAAATTTGAAAGTGTATTAATGGGTAAGTAAAAGGGTAAGTAAATGCTACTATTGGCCATTTAATAAAATTCCCTTACTATTATAAGAAAGACAAATAAAAGCCAATAGTTTAGCTTACTAAGATGACTTTGTTGGTTAGAACTAGCAAAATCATTTTAGTAAAAATAGTTCCAGATAAAGGAAACAGCCAATGTATGGTGAATCCCCACTGACAATGAAGTAGTCAATCATGGTACTAAGCCACATTCACTCTTTTAACCAATGTAATTTAGATTTCCCTAAGTTGAGGCATACAGAGATAAAAATAATAAAAGAAGTCTCATACCAGGAGTAAGCTTACACATTAGAAAACTTTTTTTTTAACTTTTTGAACTTATGTAACTTTATTCTTTTTTTATTTTTTTATTGTGAAAATACCATATGGAGAGGTTAAAATTACATGGGCAAGGTAATGAGTACATTTCTTATCAAGCATTGTTGCCTCTTCCTTTGTTTCCCCTTCCCATCCCTTTCTATCTCCCTTCCCATCCCCTCCCCCCCAGTAAACTTTTTTAAATATGTATTTTTTATTGTAAAGATACTATACAGAGGGGTTAGTTACATGAGTAAAGTAATGAGTACATTTCCTATTGACCAGTGTTACCGCCTCCTTTGTTTTCCCCTACCATGCCTTCCCTCCCCATCTCCTCCTTCCCTCCCCCACAGAAGTTTTAAAGTTCATTTTCAACATAGTGTCTTGTACATCTCATTGTTACAATGGGTCAACTTGTATCCTTATTTCAGCATTTTGTTATTTCCCTTCCCCTCCCCAAATTAGAAAAATTTATAAAAAAGATGCAGGGCATGAGAATCAAATACAATGAAAACAGGGGTTATACCATGGGGGAAGAACATACAAAAGAAACAAAAAAAATTACATAATACATTGTAAATATATTAAAAACAATAGCAAGAAAGATAAAATTTCTTGTGTCCCTATCTTGGAGTTCATTTCATTAACATCATCTTATATTAGAAAACTTTTATGAACAACAAAGCAATATAGGGTTTAGAAATGGCTTCGACTGGCTTGATTATCACAGTATCTGGAAAACTTATCAGATGTTTTTGCAGGTCAAGTGCCATTAAAGCAATACTATACAAATTCATTAGAAGGCAAGACCAGACAGACACTTGGAACATTCTCTTAATCTAGACATTGGTAAGCACTTAGTGACCATTTAGCATGTATGTAGGATGCTCCCTGCCAAAACAAAATGCCTGTTTCAGGCTAGGAAGTTTATAAGAGAGTCAGGTGATGGTAGCTTACATCTAGCTATTTAGGAAGCTGAGATCTGAGGATTCAAATTTAAATCTACACTGGATAAGAAAGTCCATGAGGTTCTTATCTCCAATTGATCAATCCATAGTCCCCCTCCCCCCCAAAAAAAAGAAGTCAGAAGTAGAGCTGTGGCTCAACTGGTAGAACTAGCCATGAGAGGAAAAGC